TTTCCACACATATCTGTTTGCCATCTTCAACCTAACATCACCCATACTTACAATATCCAAAGGTTCTCCATCTGCTAGGTAAACCTTTCCATGATTTCCAGCTACATAATTTTCTAGAATTCCACGGTGTGTAATTGTATGAAATGAGGCTCCTGAATCTAAAACCCAAGAGTCAATAGACCTATCAACATGTAAAAGTAAAGCATCTTATACCTCTTCGGTTACAGCATTAGCGGTGTCGTTATTGTTGTTCTCCTCTTTCTTTGGTGCTTTGCAATTCCTTTGTATGTGGCCTTTTATTGCCACAATTCCAGCACTTTATTTTTTTTTCCAAACCTGGACTTGCTTCTTCTGTTCCTTGATGTTGATCTTCCTCTACATCAGTTTGAATTTCTATCATAGCCCCTGCCTCTTGTTTCAACATTCAAAGAATTTGATGCTATCTCACCCGAATCTTTCATACGAACTTCCTCAGCAAGAATTTTATCCCTGACATCAGTGAGTTTTAATTTCACACTACCTGTTGAATTACTAATTGCTGCTCTCATAGGCTCCCAATTATTTGGTAGGGAGGCCATAAGAATTAGGGCACGAACTTCTTCATCAAAATCAATTTTTACAGATAATAATTGATTAATAATTGTATTAAAAATCATTTATATGCTCTATCACAAAATCACCTTTTTTCATCTTAAGATTAAATAATTTTTTCATAAGATGTACCTTGTTATTCGCAAAAGGCTTCTTATACATATCAGACAAGATCTTCATCAACCCTATTGTGGTTGTCTCCTTCTCCACGTTACTTGCCACGTTCATGGTCAATGTCAATCGAATAACTCTTAATGCTTGTCTATCAAGGAGTGCCCAATCTTCATCTGACATCTTTTTGGGTTTTTCTCCTAAGAGAGGTAGATGTAGTTTTCTGTCATACAGATGATCTTTAATCTGCATCTTCTTGAATGCATGATCTGTTCTATCAAACTTGTTGATCCCAGGTGCAGATCCTTTTTCTTCTCCAACCATTGCTTTCTTCCTCAAACCTCGCTCTGATACCATTTGTTGGGGGGATTTAATTGAACTAAATCCCTAAAAGCGAAAAATAGTGCGAACAAAGGACAAAAATAACCACACACAAACACAAGATTTATAGTGGTTCACTCTCCGTATGAAAGCTACATCCACTTTGCCCCTACGAAATTTCACTATAAAGAAGAAGAAAAGAAATTACAAGAATCTCTCACAAGCCTCACAAATTTGCTCACTCACTAAACCCTATTTGATGGCTCTCACTCTCCAATTATGGCTTTGCCTTCTATTCAATTTGTGATATCTAACTCTAGGACTTAACCCCTTTCTATAGGTAATACATGGGACACTATTTGTAATAGGACTCAAATCCCATATCCTAATAGGAATTTTATTTTAAGTCCTAATACAATTATAATCCTATTCCTAAAGGAAAATAATTCTACATAAACACAAATTAGGAAAACTCATGTCCTAATCCAACTCTAATTTGGATTGAATTTGACTTCACAATCTCAGCACATGTTCCAGCCAGTAAAAGAACCAAGCTTGATGAAAAAGCTGAAGTTGGAATCTTTATTGGCTACAACAGCTAATCCAAGGCCTATAGAGTCTTCAATCAAAATGCTAACAATATTCTAATCACAAGAGATGTTAGAGTCGATGAGATGCCAGTTTGGAATTGGGAAGAGAAAAGAATCGAAGAAGAAGCAAGGCTCAAAAGAGAGAGGTCATTGAGAACCAAATGACGATGAAAAAGATTTAGATGCTGATAAGGAATATTCTATTTGAGGCATCATGCCTTTAGCTGAAGTATATGAGAGGTGTAATGTTCTTATAATAGAGCTTACAAGCTACTCTGAATTTGCGAAGTCAAAAGAATGAAGAGTTGCGATGAAGGAGGAGTTAAGCATGGTCGAGAAAAATAAAACCTAGGAGTCGGTTGACGGTGATCAGATCGAAAGGTCATTCAAGTCAAATGGATCTTCAAGACTAAACTGAACCCTAATGGATCAGTCAACAAACACAAAGCAAGACTTGTAGCTAATGGCTATGCATAGCAAAATGGAGTAGATTTTTCAAACACATTTGCTCCAGTTGCGAGACATGATATGATCAAACTTCTCCTCGCTTTGGCAGCTCAGTTTAAGTGGAAGATTTTCAATTAGATGTCAAGTCAGCTTTCTTGAATGACTACTTGAATGAAGAAATTTATGTAGAGCGACCAGAGGGCTTTACAGTTGAAGGGAGTGAGGATAAGGTGTTTCTCCTGAAGAAGGCTTTGTATGGTCTAAAGTAGGCTCCTAGAGCCTGGTATGGTCAAATAAATGAATATTTATGTAGTCTTAGTTATATAAGAAGCCCTAATGAATATACTCTCTATGTGAAAAAGTCAGATGATGGTCTGATTATAGTCTCCTTGTATGTTGATGACTTGCTTGTGACTGGAAACAATCCTAATCGAGTGGAGTAGTTCAAGGAAACAATGCATAAGGAGTTTAAATGACAGACTTGGGAGAGATGACATTCTTCCTTGGGATGTAGATAAATCAATCTTCAGATGGCATATTTGTTTGCCAAAAGAAATATGCAAATGAGATCTTGAAGAAGTTCAGCATGGAGAGCTGTAATCCAGTGAGCACTCCACTGGTTCAAATTCAAAAGTTGTGTAAAGAAGATGGAGCTCACAAGGCCAATGAAAGCAGATATAGAAGCTTGATAGGCTACATGCTGTATTTGACAGCAGCACGACTGATATCATGTTTGCGACCAGTCTACTCTCTAGATTTATGATTCCGCCTAGTGAAATATATTTCAAGGTGGCAAAGAGAGTAAATATATCAAAGGAAGTGCAAACCTTGGGATATGGTTTAGAAGGTCTGAAGAATTTAATATAGTTAGATATACATATAGTGGCTAAGTTAGATAAGTTGAAGATATGAAAAGCACTTCTGGTTATGGCTTTTAGTGGGTTGTCCAAGAAGCAAGAAACAATGGCCCAATCAACTGTAGAACCAGAATATATCTCTACAACTGTAGCAGTGAATCAAGTGATCTGGCTAAGGAAGATCTTGAAAGATATGAAGTTGGAACAATGTGATCCGACAATAATCTTTAGTGACAATCAATCAACTATTGCAATGGCTAAGAATCTTGATCTTCATGGAAGAAGAAAGCACATAAAGATCAAGTTTCATGCTATTAGAGAAGTCGAGTAGAACAAAGAAGTTAAGCTCGTTCATTACAAGACCGAAGAGTGAGTCACTGATGTCCTGAGAAAAGCTCTAAACAAATCTAAGTTTGAAGATCTAAGACTTAAACTTGGTGTTTCCAACAAACATATCAAGGAGGAACGTTAATGCAAGTGATATCATGTTGGAAGCATGCTAATACGATCTGAATGCTTGCGACCTGAAGTATGCAAGCTAAGATGGATGTGAGCTGTAGATAGTTGTGTTCAGATGCAACTAGCAAATAATGCAACTTGGAAGCGATGTAAGCTGGAAAGCATGCGATATAAAGGGCATGTGATCTAATGCAGTATACGACCTGAAAGAGGTCAATGTTCAAAGCCGATCTAGAATTTGTTGTGTTAGAGTTTGGTTAACTACTTCGAGTAGTTTAGCTGATTTTTAGGGATGTAATGTCTGACATATATATTTCGTATTAGTTGAGATTATGTGGCTCTGTTATAATGTTTTAGAAAAATCTCTGCAGATTAGGTATGTAATTAATTCTCTGCAAGAGCTAGTATTAATGATGTAAATGATGATGTCAAGCGTTTGTATATAAACTTTGTTTAAGCTAATGAAATAGAGACCAACAATTCCAGCAAAACTTGTCTCTACAAAAAACTTTCGTTTTCTTTCCTTTGTATTCTTGAGCTTGTAAAATCGACAGGTAGTCATTAGAGTTGTTATCTGATCAGTAGTTCTTGGGTCCCAAAGTTTAGTTGAGGTATGCATAAATTGACCCGAAAAACCCTAATCATAAAAAAAAAAAAAAAAATTATCATTTAATTGTTCCTAATAAAATGTCGTTGCAAAGGGTTAAAGTTTCTGCTTATTGATTTGCTTTGATTTATATGTCCCTGTCCAGCCTGTTTCCTTGACACCATCATTTGTAGGGAGGGAAAATTCCATAAGGCTCCGAAGTCAATTCCATGCAGAAGAAAACATAACCCTGCACATTAACAGTGTTTAAATTCACTTTGCAGTATGAATATGATTTTTCTATAGCTGCGGGCTCACCAATCAATGACTGGAGAAACTCATTCCCAGTCTTCGTACATGCAATCTGGCAAATTTATAGATTAGCACTATGACTGCCTATTCGGCTACTTCTTTTCTCTCTTTCATGTTTCCAAGTTTGAAGGATGGGCGAATCTAGAATATATTGAATCTACTTTACATGCGAATCACACATGGTCATGAAGCATTTATATTACATGCAGTCAAACTTTTGACAGAAAAACGGTGATCTATGGTTAGAATTACGTGAAAACATAAAATGGTTGCTGTTATATCCCATCTTATGTTTTGTAACTATGTTTTGCGGGGAGGGAAATTTGCAAAAAGCTTATAAGTAAAGCAACCATACCAACAATATCAACTTATTTAAGTCTCAAGTCAGTCTTCCAACAAAAATCAAAGGTTTTTTCGCATTTGTGAGATTAAAATTAGGATTATTGTTCTATGCTATTAATTACATGAAGGCGATATTTTGAGGGTTTTATAAATCTTGCATCCATTTTTTTTTTAAGAGATCTGTTCGCATCAATTTAGGGAGAAACAAGTTTACTTGATTAGATTTACATCATTGTGAGGGATCTGTAATTTTAAGTAAAATAAAACCTGAAAAGGAATACAAATTCTGATAAAACACCCACAAAACGTTGCCTATATGCATAAATGTTTCCTATTGTATTTATACAAGGATGTGCTTGGTTATTATGCAACAACTATATTTAATTATCTTGGTTCCATGATTGAAATTGTAATCTCATTTACGGAACAAATTTTTGACTTATTTTCAGAAACTGCAGGCTCAGCAGAGCTAACATTGACAAAAAATGCTGGTTGTTTTGGGGCAGGAAAGGGCTTGGCTTCAGGTGTAAGCATGGAAACAACTTTGCTCATTGTGGGTCTATCTGTTGCTTGGTCTTGCGCACACAAAAGACCCACATGAATGCATCTCAGGACTTCACCAGGAGAGCTTGGTCCATCAAGTATTTCCGAGTCGATTAGCTCCAAAGCTTTACCATCATTCCACAGCTGCCAGGCCTGAAAGTGGCGAGTTTTAGCACCAAAAATTATCAGGGTTAGAAGATTAATGTACTGATCCTCTTTGTAAAGAGTTCTTATGAGGATTTAGTAAAAATAAATAAGGCAGATGCCTGGAAGAGAATGACTTGCAATAGATTGAACTCTTACATATCCTACAAGGTTGAGTGTGCGCTCCGGCTGATATATATCATTGTTCTTCTTACTGCTAACAATTTCCAAAAGTAAAACTCCAAAGCTGTATACATCATTTTTTATTGAGACAATGCCATTCATGACATACTCCGGAGACATATAACCACTGAAGAATCATTAAACAACCTTTTTTTAGTGTTTGAAGGAAAGAAGATGTTGATGAATCATCAAATGAAACAAATTATAAAAGACACTTACTGTGTTCCCACAATTATGCTTGTGTATGATTTTGGTTCATTCTCTGTGAAAATTCTAGCCATCCCGAAATCAGATATTTGCGGATTCATTTTGTTATCAAGAAAAATGTTGTTGGCTTTTAAGTCTCTATGAATTACTTTCAATCTCGAATATTTATGAAGATAAAGAAGTCCTTGAGTGATCCCTTCGATTATGCTGAAACGTTTCTTCCAATTTAATAGCTTTCTTCTATTAGAATCTATCACAAAGTGTAATAAAACAAAAATGAATGACGAAGAGTTGATCTCTGTTAGAATTGTTGCTGCGAAGATCCTTAAATATTGTTGTAGAAAACTTACCAAAAATAAAGAAGTCCAAGCTTTTGTTAAACATGTGCTCATAAACTAAAATTCTTTCTTCTCCATGAAGAGAACATCCTAAAAGCTTCACAAGATTAGTGTGCTGGAGCTTTGCAACGAGTTTAACTTCATTCTTGAACTCCTTTATTCCTTGTGCTGATCTTCTTGAGAGTCTCTTTACTGCTATTTCTTCACCATCGACTAATTTTCCCTGAAACCATATAATTAGTAATTACTTCATTTAAGGTAAGTGTAAGTCTCAAAATTTTACCTTATAAACCGGGCCAAAACCGCCCTCTCCGAGCTTATTTTCGGTTGAGAAATTGTTTGTAGCAACTTCAATGGTCTGAAAATCAAATATCCTCAAGTCATGGCCTATGCCCTTCTTCCTTTTTCGTCTCCGTCTGCCAAAATTTGGGGCATGTGATAGAGTACTTGCAAGCTCTTTTAACAGTTTCTTTCTGTTATTTACGCTTTGCACTAATCAAAATCCATGGAAAGTATAACTCAGATTACAGTTATTTCTCAAACATAAATAAATTTATGGCATTTGTTCTACACTGAAACTGATTACCTTTTGTCTTAAGCTTTTTCGCCATCAAATAGCTCAAGTAGCACAAGAAAGGTCGCACTAAAGCTACTCCTAAAGCAAAAATGAATTGACATCCTCCGCCTCTCTTCTGCAAAATAGGAAAATGAAAATCTAAATTCAATTTCTCATGATCTTTCTCACCACCAATCACTCTGAACGCAGAGTGTTCTGTTTCTATAATGAACTTTTTTCAGGAGTTTTGGTAGACTTTTATAACATCAATCTTACAAACCTATTCCCTTGTCCTTTCTCCGCACTTTATAGCTCAAACCACCCAAAATGATTACCAGCAAAGCAGCTAGAGATCCTAATATTTCAATAATTAACCATGGTGGCTTCTTCATCTTCTTTACTGTTCCTGCAACAATATAAATATTCGTGTTAAAGTATGGATTTAACCATCTAAGGAGCTTATTTAAACTAAAAACTTCAATATTTAGTAGGCTAACCTTCTTGATCGTGAAAGTCAAGCATGAGTATGAACCGTGCATTGTGCTCCAATTGGTTTCTAAACTTTGTTCCTCTACTCCAAATCTGACAGTCAGTGAAGTTACGTTCGGCCGGAGCAAAGGCCGCACAAGAACAATTCTTGATGCATTTGTCTTGACAATCTAAAAAGTTCATGTTTTTACTAAAACTGAATCCATCTCCCAACATGTAGCCCCGTCTGAAATGCCAATAATCAATAGTACGATTCCAGGCCAAACAAATCTCTTCCCGCTGCTTCTCTTTCCAACATCCTCCATATTTAGTACAAGAAACAAACAACCCTCTGCCGTTTATAAGTCCACCATCTGCGTTGATTCTCANCCACCAGAGGATAAGCTGGTTGGTGACATTTTGATCCAAACCTAGCGTAAATGAACCTTGAGCGGGAGATTTATCACTAATCAGGATTGGAGAAACCATTTGTGCGCAGTTTGGAAGTTGATTCCAAGTTTCATCCCCAGAAGAAGTGTATCTGTCGGATAATCAAAACTTTGCCACATTACTTTTGTAGTTCCACTTGAATACCTTTTACTCAGGACAAGATTGCTCGTTTGGTGTAGAGTAGCAACTATTCAACATGATGCTTTGTAGGAAGTTATTGCAATAGAATTAAGATCCACTGTGGAAAATTTTCGAACTGCCATCATCAGCTAGTAAAAGTCTTCCAGATTCATCTAAGATTGGGTTGTTTCGGTTCGCAACCCACACTAGCTCCTCATCCATGTAGAATATTCCTAGGTAACGTTTTTCTGTATATCTAGGGCTAAAGAATTTCAAACCAGCTTCTCCCCATCTCTGAGATCAACACCAAGTCTCCAGCCTGGTGCAAATTTTCTTTCCGGAAAATTTGAAGGCCCCAACAATAGTATAATGAGGTATGAAAAGTTCAATAGCATTTGAGTTCAATAGCCTTTAAAATGCTGGCGAACTTACTCAAAGATTAACCACAAATGCAGAGTTGTATACATTTCTTCTAAATATGGTGGAAACTAATCAGCGAGAAATTTATTTTATAAATGCCCTGTTTTGTGCCTTAGCTTTTGTCTTGACAAATGTTCATCCAACGTCAAAGACGATAAATTTGAAATGATTGTTTATAAGAAGGGGGACAGGAGCCATTGTCTCAAACTGAGAGACTTTATTCTATAGCCTATGCATATCAACTCAAGTTTTTGGTGCTAATTAGCCAGCAAGTAAAAAATTAGCAAATAATGGGACAACGTTCACATGGATTATTACATAATAAATTCTATTCCTTGTCCTGATCTTCCTGCGAGTCTCTTTACTGCTATTTCTTGCCCATCCAGTAATTGTCCCTGAAATCATTCCTCTCACACAATTACTAATGATACATCTAATATCGCAAAAAGAAAAAAACAGAAAAATTTGCATAAGCTTACCTTATAAACTGGACCAAAACCACCCTCTCCCAGCTTATTCGTGGCTGAGAAATTATCTGTAGCAGCTGCAATTGTTTGAAAGTCAAATATGTTCAACTCACGGCTTACGCTCAAATCTCTCTTTTGTTTTTCCTTTGCCATATTCTTTCGTTTTTCCTTTGTCATATTCCGTGAGAAGTAAAGCATTCTCTCAAACTTCATTTACTGGCTTCCTTCGATTTGTTGTGCTATCAACTAATTAGCATACAAGGAAATTATATGATTCTAATTATTGTGTATGATCATTTATCTTAACTATTTATGTTCCAGCTTATTACATTTTGCCTTAAGTTTTCTCAGTATCAGATAGCATAAGTAACACAATAGCAGGACCAATAAAACGACTCCTATGCAATGGTTAATGGCAACCACCACTTCTCTTCTGCAATAAAAATATATGAGGCTCTGCCTTTAGTTTTCTGAAATTGTTAACTATATATGAGGTGATGCTTGCTTTCTGCCCTGTTTCTATCAGAATTTGAAATGCTTTCAGTACTAAATTATATGAAAAATCTGACAGGTGCTCAGGTAACAATTCAGAACAGGATCCATGTTTTCTTGATTAGCTGATTAATTTCACTTCACATTTCTTTCCCATATTTAAATGAAAAACTAATATAATGACACTGAAAGATTGTTTACCTTTTACCTTCTACCTTCTACTTTCTCCATGTACCATAACACAAGAAACACAACAAGATCAAAAGTGGAGCTCCTACTACAATAATCAACCACCTACTACAATAATCAACCACTTCCATAACTTCATTTCTGCAATAAAAGGCGTATAAGTATCATTATTGAGATATGAAATATTGTCTTCTCTCCAGGGAAGAGTGAAATTTTTAATTTGATGAGAACTCAACTTTCAATATTTAAGCATAGACTTACTTTTGGGTTCAAGGATGTGTATATACCGTGAATTGATGTCATCCCATTTAGCTTCTGTAAACTTTGCCTCCCTGTCCCAGATCTCTCAGCTGGTGTCAAAATCTGTAGTAGCATAGGCAACACAATAACAATTATTCCAGCATTTCAATTCACAATCAGCATGGCTCATGTTTTCACTTTTTTTGAACTAGAATCCATCTCCAAACATGAAACCATAGTTTGCCTGGAAATATCCCTCCTGCACGTAGGAACTTTTCGAGCCATACCAAAACCAAGTTCTGGAATAGACAATCTAGCATCCATTAGAATTTCCAGTAGTTTAGATGTTTGCTCAGAAGTAAGAGAATAGCTGAAGTATATTTCTTGTTCATTTGAAGTGAAGCTGAATTCGTACTTACCACGAGTCCAAGAATTAGAAGAATTGAATAGGTCAACTAGCCAAAGCTTACTTGTCTGGTAGACTTCCCCGCACCACCAGAGGATAAGCTGGTTGGTGACATTTTGATCCAAACCTAGCATAAATGAACCTTGAGCGGGAGATTTATCACTAATCAGGATTGGAGAAACCATTTGTGCCCAGTTTGGAAGTTGATTCCAAGTTTCATCCCCGGAAGAAGTGTATCTGTCAGATAATCAAACTTTGCCACATTACTTTTGTAGTTCCACTTGAATAGCTTTTACTCAGGACAAGATTGCCCGTTTGGTGTAGAGTAGCAACTATACAACATGATGCTTTTTAGGAAGTTATTGCAATAGAATTAGATCCACTGTGGAAAATTTCCGAACTGCCATCATCAGCTAGTAAGTCTTCCAGATTCATCTAAGATTGGGGTGTTTCGGTTCGCAACCCACACTAGCTCCTCATCCATGTAGAATATTCCTAGGTAACGTTTTTCTGTATATCTAGGGCTAAAGAATTTCAAACCAGCTTCTCCCCATCTCTGAGATCAACACCAAGTCTCCAGCCTGGTACAAATTTTCTTTCCGGAAAATTTGAAGGCCCCAACAATAGTATAATGAGGTATGAAAAGTTCAATAGCATTTGAGTTCAATGGCCTTTAAAATGCTGGCGAACTTACTCAAAGATTAACCACAAATGCAGAGTTGTATACATTTCTTCTAAATATGGTGGAAACTAATCAGCGAGAAATTTATTTTATAAATGCCCTGTTTTGTGGCCTTAGCTTTGTCTTGACAAATGTTCACGAACGTCAAAGAGGTAAATTTGAAATAATTGTTTATCGAAGGGGACAGGAGCCATTGTCTCAAACTGAGAACTTTATTCTTAGCCTATGCATATCAACTCAAGTTTTTGGTCTAATTAGCCACAAGTAAAAATTAGCAAATAATGGGACAACGTTCACATGGATTTTACATAATAAATTCTCAGGCAATACATAATACAAAGGCCTTTATCCAGACAGAATTATCAATCAAACATAATTGTCCTGCCTGCTACGTCTCTCTAATGTCTTGAGTTTTCATCTTAGATGCTCCATCACCAAGTTCCCTGGTTACTGTTGTAGGGAATTATCAATCAAACATTATTTTTTTTTTTTTTTTTTTCTAAATTTGTTTTCTTATTTAGTTTATCTTGTTTTTTAGATTTCTGCTGTTTGGCCCCCAGGTGTAGATGCATAATCTGAGAATAAGATAGCTTATCAGCCTTACTTTTTGCGAAGTTTCTTCTGAAGACTTCATGATCCTTTAGCAATAGACACAAGTTAATGGCATGGCTTTTATTCATTTTATGGATGATTGTTCACGAGGGTTAGATTTATATCACTTGTCGTTAATAAGTTCATTCAAACACGATTCTGAAGGTGCTGGCTTGTTCAGTTCATTTACAAAGTGTTGATAGATTTTCAAAGCGAATACAAGTTTATATGGATTTTGACTAGCTTATTCAATTGACATCAAGAATCAAAGGAGAAGAAAAAAAGAGAGGTTGGAGTTTCATATTGATAGAATGGCCTCAAAATAGAATACAAAGAGTAAAGGTGTTTATATAGTTACAAGCCAAGTACAAGACTATCCTACCCTCAATTTTATACATACTAACCTGACAATTCTTGCGTAGGATGATTCGACATCCTTATAAATCAAAAACCAGTATATTTGAATTCATGTTTGTGCTTGTAATTCTGCCTAGATAATAATGTCACTACCATGTTTATCTAGCTACCATCTCTGAAAGTGTTACTTCATTTATAGAACAATTTTCTGGCTGATTTTCAGGAACGTCTGGCTCCTCAGGAGAAACATTGATAAAAAATGCTGGTTGTTTTGGATCATCTAGGAGCATAGTTTCATTTGTTAGCATAGAAACCACATCCAGCATCGCTGGTCTATCCTTCGCTTGGTCTTGAACGCATAAAAGACCCACATGAAGGCATCTCAATACTTCATTACTTGAGCATTCATCTAGTGTTGGATCTATTAGCTCTAAGGCAATACCTTCTCCCCACAGCTGCCATGCCTGAACAAATATGACGTTTATCGCACGGTATTAGTTAAGTAAGATAGTATATACTATCCAAAATGTTTAAAATTCAATGGCTATCTTGGGTACTTACATATCCTATAAGGTTGAGCGGGCTCTCTGCATGATAGCAACCATTGCTCTTCTTGCTGCTTACAATTTCCAGTACTAAAACTCCAAAGCTAAATACATCAACTTTAGTTGACACAATTCCATTCATAGCATACTCTGGAGACATATAGCCACTGAAGAACGCAAATTGTAGTATGTTAAAAGTTAGAAAGTTTATGTATGCAAATACAAGAAGCTAGCTCCGTTGTAAGTGTCGAGAAACTTACTATGTTCCACAAACTCTGTTAGTGTTTACTACTGTTTCATTCATCTGAAATATTCTAGCCATGCCAAAATCTGATATTTTTGGATTCATTTGGTCATCAAGTAAAATGTTACTAGCTTTTAAGTCTCTATGAATCACTCTTAATCTTGAATACTTATGGAGATAAAGAAGCCCCTGAGCAATTCCTTCGATTATACTGAAACGTTTCTTCCAATTTAGTAACTTCTTTTTATCAGAATCTGTCTCAGAGCATAAAGAAAGAAAAATGGTATAATGAATATATATATATATAGCTGATGAATGATAAAGCTACTGTTGCTGCAAAATCCAAAATTATCTGTGAAGAGACTTACCGAAAATATATAAATCCAAGCTTTTGTTAGGCAGATACTCGTAAACTAAAATCCTTTCTTCTCCATGAAGAGAACATCCTAAAAGCTTCACAAGATTAGTGTGCTGGAGTTTTGCAATGACTTTAGTTTCGTTCTTGAACTCCATTATTCCTTGTCCTGATCTTCCTGCGAGTCTCTTTATTGCTATTTCTTGCCCATCTATTAATTGTCCCTGAAATCATGACTCTCAAACAATTGCAAATCATATTCCTAATATCACAATCAAAAATAAAATAAACTGCATAACTTTACCTTATAAACTGGACCAAAACCACCCTCTCCCAGCTTATTTGTAGCTGAGAAATTATCTGTAGCAGCTGCAATTGTTTGAAATTCAAATATCTTCAACTCGCGGCTTATGCTCAAATCTATCTCTTTTGTTTTTCCTTTGCCATATGCCGTAAGAAGTAAAGCATTCTCTCCAAGCTCATCTACTAGCTTCTTTCGGTTTGTTGTGCTATCCACTAATGAACATACAAGGAAATCACTCATATTATTATTGTGCAATCATGTATGTTAACTATTCCTGTAATCATGTTCCAGCTTACTACCTTTTGCCTTCAGTTTTCTCAGTATCAAATAGCATAAGTAGCACAACAGCGGGACCAATAATGCTACTCCTACTGCAACAGCTAATGGCAGCCACCACTTCTCTGCAATAAAAATATATGAGGCTCTGCCTTTAGTTTTCTGAAAATGTTAACAATATTTGAGGTTATGCAAACTGACTGCCCTGTTGTATGCTAGAATGTGTAATGGGAATTTAGATCATATATTGACCTGATCTTAACGGCGTGTATATCAAAATTTGAAATCCTTTCAGTACTTAATTATATGTTCAATCTTACATGCGGTCAGGTAACAATTCAGGACAGGATCCATGGTTTCATGTTTAGCTGATTTCACTTCACATTTCTTTCCCCCATTTACATGAAATACTAACATTGAAAGGACATATATATTGATAGATTAGTTTACCTTTCGCCTTGTACTTTCTCCATGTGCCATAACACAAGAAACACAGCAGGATTAGAAGTGGAGCTCCTACTACAATAATCAACAACTTCCATAACTTCATTTCTGCAATTGAAAGGTACTTGTGTTATGAAATATTGTTTCCTTTGCAGGGAGAGTGAATTGTTTTGTTTGATAAGAACTCAACTATCAATATTTAAGTATAGACTTACTTCTGGGTTCAAGGATGTGTATATACCGTGAATTGATATCATCCCATTTAGCTTCTGTAAAAATTGGCCCCCTGCCCCAGATCTCGCAGCTGGTGTCAAAATCTGTAGTAGCATAGGCAAAACAAGAACAATTAAACCAGCATTTCAATTCACAATCGGCGTGGCTCATGTTTTCACTTTCTTTGAACTTGAATCCCTCTCTGGACGTGAAACCATATTTGGACTGGAAATAAAGAACATCCCTCCTGCAAGTAGGAACTTTCCGAGGCATACCAAAACCAAGCTCCGGAATAGACAATCTACCATCAGGTAGAATTTTCAGTAGTTTAAATGATTGTTCACTAATAAGAGAGTAACTGAAATATATTTCCTTTTCATTTGAAGTGAAGCTGAATTCGTAGTTACCACGAGTCCAAGAATTAGAAGAATTAAACAGATCATTTAGCCAAAGCTTACTTGTCTGGTAGACTTCCCCACGCCACCAGAGGACAAGCTGGTTCGTGAAATTCCGATCCAAACCGAGCGAAAATGAACCTTGTGCCGGTGATTTATCACTAATCCAGGATTGGAGAAACCATTTGTGCCCAGTTTGCAAGTTGATTCCACGTGCATGCCAGGAAGAAGTGTATCACTTGGATAATCAAAACTTTGCCACATTATCTTGATTGTTGTTCCATTTGAATCCATTTTACGGAGGACAAGATTCCCAGTTTGGTGAAGAGTAACAACTATACAACATGATGGTTGGTAGGAAGTTATTGCAATAGAATTAGATCCACCGTGGAAAATTTTTAAATTGCCATCTCCATCAACTGTAAGCCATCCAGATTCATCTAAGATTGGGGTGTTTCGGTTCGCAACCCACACTACCTCCTCATCCATGTAGAATATTCCTACATAACGTTTTTCTGTATTATTGGGGCTAAAAAATTTCAAGCTGTATTTCCCAAAAGCTGAAACCAACTTTGCCCCATCTCTGAGTTTGAGACCAAGTCTAAAGCCTTGTGCAAATGTTTCTGCTGTAGGATTTGATAGCCCCAACCAAAGTATCATGAGGCTCAAAAGGATTTGACTTCTACCTTTGATAGCCATTAAAATTCTTTCGGACTTACAGAAGGATTCGCCACAAATGCAGAGTTGTATACATTTATTCTAAAAAATGGTGGAAATTAATCGGCCAAAAATTGATTTTATAAATGTCCTGTTTTGTGCCTGAGCTTTTGTCTTGACAAATGTTTATTCAGCATCAAAGTCGATGAGTTCAATATAAATGCTTAGACGGAAGAGGGAGACAGGGGCGATTATCTTAAACTGAGCTGACTATATTCTAAGCCCTATGCATAGTGATTATTAGCCGGCAAGTAAAAGATTAGCACATAATGGGACAATGTTAACATGGACTATTACATAAAATAATTATCAGGTAATACAAAAGGCTTTATCTAGGCACAGAATTATCAGTTAAACAAAATAACTGGTGTTGTCATCACATAATCGTCCTGCCTGCTTCATATCTTTAATGTCTTAAGAGTTTTCATCTTGGTTGCTCCATCACCAGGTTCCTTTGTTATTGGTGTAGGACAACTTCTCTAATAAATCTAGGAATCCTATTTTAATTTGTCTTTCACAGTTTATCTTAGTTTATTAGGTTTCTGCTCTCCGGCCCCCAGTTGTAATAGATGCATAATCTGGAAATAAAAGTAGGTTATCAGCCTGAAGAGCTCTTGGGCTTCTCCTATTTAAGATAGCTCTGCTTCTACCCTTACTATTTGCGTGGTTTGTTGTAAAAACTTTATTATCCCTTAGCAATAGACAGCTATATGATAATAATCTTTTTGGATGTTTTCTTAGCAATAGACACAAGGTTGAATTGCTAAAAATAAACTCATTGCCAAATTCTTTCTTCTCCATGTAATCTCTTAATTCACCATCAGGATCCATTTTCAGCACCGGCAACGAAGTAACATCTTTATTTACCAGATATTTGAAGTATATTTCTTGTGTACTTGAAGTGTAACTGAAGTTATAGACAGAAGATTCAAGACCAGTGGGGGAGCTGAATTGACCATTTTCCCAAAGCCCTGTCGTCCAATAGACTTCCTCACCCAAACAGATTGTCAGCTGGTTCGGGGCTTTCCGGTCGACTCCAAGGGTAAATGATCCTTGTGCCGGAGATTCTTTTGTAATCCATGACTGCAGAAACCATTTATCCTTAGTTTCCAGGTTAATTCCGAGTTTCATTCCTGGTAAATGTGTATCAGTCGGATAGTCAAAACTTTGCACAACTTTTTCCCTCTAGTTCCATTTGAACGCATTTCATAGAGGACGAAATTGCCTGATTGCAGTAGCACAGCTTTTGCAGAACGCACTCCTGGAACCGAACTTATATTAATGGGATTTCCTCCGCTATGTAGAATTTTCAAATTTCCATCAGTGCTATTAATGGAAGGATTTCCGGATTTATCCAAAATGGGAATGTTCCTGTTGGCAACCCACATTGGCTGAATGTTGAAAAATTTATCTATAAACGTATCATACCATATTCCTAAGTAGGGGTTAGTGGTGCCAGCAGGGCTAAAGAATCCTAACCCGAATTTCCTGGATTTAAAACAAGTTCCTCCCCATCTTTCAGCACTTGGCCTTGTAATAATTCGTCTGTCTCCGAATAAGAAGGTCCAATCAAGAGAATGAGGCATGAAAAGCTCAAAAGAAATTGAGTTTTTCCTGTGCTAGCCATTTACAAAACGAGTGATGGTACGAGTTGCATAGCCGGGGCGGGGGATACTGTGGGAATCAGCCGGCAGCATTGTCAGACGTATGGTTAAATCTATAGAAGGGAATTACTGAACATTCCAAATAGTGTTCATTTACGGAAACGATTATACCAACTTGATTTTGTTTATTTCTGAGGAGTCCTTGATTATGATGGAATGGGCTATTCTTTTTTAACCAATTAAATTTATGGTGATGGAACAGGCTACTGTTTTTTAATCAATTATAATATATGGATACATCTAAGGAAGCTTTTTCTAATAAAAGTGAACAAATAGAGAGATAAAAAAAAAACAAATCACAAAAAGTATATAGAAAGAAGAAATAAGTACGATTTTACTCTAATATATTTTATATCCAACTGAGTCAATATTATTATAATACTATTTTATTTCTCTTATTTACAATGAAAGTAATTTATTTTATTATTTGCTATCACTCATTACAAGATAAAAGTATATTTATATATTAGATTTAAAAGACTAAAACTTAGTATTATAAAGATTTATATTCATAAGCTCAAACTCAATAAAGAATTAATAACTTAAAAAAATCCTTCAACGGCTCTTCATGAAAAATGCCCACATCGCCTACTGGTCGGGGACGCTGCCCCCCACACCCCCGCCCGCTCACCAGGAAGAGCTACCCCCTACACCCTCAAATGCGTTTACGTGATCCATTAATGCTGAAGTAGTCAACAACTCTAACAGAACAAAAACATTCCAAATTGTGTTCAAAGGAAATGATTATACCAACATGTTTTTGTTTATTTCTGATGAGTCCTTGATTATGATGGAATAGGCTGCCGTTTATGGGTTTCACAAAAGGGTCATTCATCGAAAATACATTTTATGGACTTCAACCTCATAAATTGAATCCCAAACTTATTCACTAGTGAATTGAAATATGACAAACTCCTCACCTTATAGACCTTGTTGTCCTTGCATCTTTGTTAGGTTTCCTCACTTTGAATAGAAATCCATTCTTTTATCAATTGTCAAATTCTAAATCCAGCTAAATGAATATTGTTCGTTTTGATTCTAAGTTTACACGGATTTACTTTTGAACTTCGTCGTAAGCATCATTTATCCAAAATACATGTAAAGGCTTTTATTGTTATGAGTGACTTAAAGTATTTGGTTGAATGCGTAACAGGAAAATTTTAATTTAACGAATAAATAATTCATAATGCATTCGTTTGCAAGTTTACTCAATCAACCAGTAAAAAGATAAAAGATAAAATTTAACCAGCCAAGTACTTCAGGAGTGAGTTTGGATTTTGAGAGACCTAGGATTTTTTTATCAAAAAGAAAATGTTGTATTCTTTTAGTCCCTGTCTGAGCCAGCCAGGAGCAGAAAAAGACAATAGGCCTCGAGGCCTAAAGTTGTGAGTTGTGACGTGACCTTTGTGGATATGTACAGGCGCAGCTGTGACGATTAGCCCAATGCCCCAATTCTGCTGCTAGCATTTAAGCCCAGGAATTTGGGTTTCTCAGCCACCCTTTTTGCAGTTTGCATGTAACTGACACATACATAAATTTAAGAGCCTATCAAATTCTTCCGTTTTAAAAAAGTAAAAAATAACACCCCATAGAAGAGTAGGTATGAACATCAGCTGAAGAAGAGTAGCTCTTCAACAATATTTTAATCACTCTACTCAACAAAAACAACCAAGTACCAACCACCTCCCTCTATCTCTCTCTCTCTCTGATGACAAAATTCTCTCCCACCCCACCATGATTTCTCTTCAAAACTGCACCTATTTTCCTCACACTTAAGCATGGTAAGTTATAAGATCTCTCTGCAATTATAATTTATGTTATTTTTGTTATTAATATTTTTGCAGGCTATTATGCCAGTGTTGTTCAGATCATTATTGGCGCTATTTACAGAAGTAGTGGCTCATCCAGCAGCCTCCATCACAACTCTACTCTATTACAGTAATCTTCTCCCTCGAAACTTGAACTTAGAGCGCATGGTTCGACCCCAACTCCTCCATCCAGAGAACTTCATGTTTCATCTTCTCATCAATGTTCTCAGATGTTTCTGGTAACCATATAGCTCCGCCCCCCACCCCCAATTTCCTTTTTTTTTTTTAATCGATCATAAAGGAGTCTTTAAATAGACTAATGGTAATCTTACGTTTGCCCTTTTTTGTTGCAGAGTAAACCCAATATCATGTTCATGTTCATGGAACTAATCTGTATGGAAGAAGACGAGCAAGATCGATTAACATTTGGCAGAGTTTTAATTGTTGAAACGGGAAGAGAACTAATTAATGTTTCATCATTTTCAGTGTAGTTTGACTGTGAGGCATTGCATATTGACTGGTTGGTGTCAAAAGCTTCGGTATCTGAACCTTGATTCCTTGGAGTACAAGGTTTAATTTTGACTCTGAATCTTTCGTGTATGTTTCTGCATTAATAAGGGATCCAGCACTTTTCAATCAAATAGTGATCTCTTAGATATAAAAATTAAATTATACTTCATTTTTTTTTTTTCCAGTATAATATGAATATTAGACTATGTTCTGTATATATTTAATAAAGTTTACAGTGATGGAAGATTTTCAAAGTAGATGACATTAGTAGGCCTTTCTTATTAGAATTCACCGATGCATGTGCATTCCATCAATCAATGGTTTTAGTTGAGACAGTCTACTGCATCATAATAATGTTATTTTAACGATATAAACAATTTTTTCTTGCATTTAATGTGCATAAATTACTTGATAGGGAATGTGTCGTACATATTGACGTGATATACAAGGTTTTAAGACCCGGCCCTGTGTGAAACTCGGCAAAGTGATCAGAAAACAAAATGACCGGTTTAACCAGTTTGATGGATGGAAAAAATTGGTGTAAAAAATTTAAAATCTAACAAAAATAACCCTAAAAATTACACATAAGTCCATACAAGTTTGAAATCTTGTAAAAACATCTAAAATTACACCACTGGCATCGAAAACCAAGCCAAATAGAACCTATTTACGGTATCAAAAACACACACCATGTCACACCACCATGAAAACTCTCCCCTAAGCCTCATAATCAAAACTCATCTCACCCCATCCTCATTCGCCTCGTCGATCAATGGCGCGATTTTCGGTCTTTTCACTCACCGGGAACCAACTCTATCGCCACCTATTGACTCATTGGCTCTTACTATTCAAAAACCCCAACATCATAGCCACCAATTGTTCGTCAATCATCGTCCTAATTTTGAGGGGGTTTGAGATGAATAGTAAAATTGATAACCCAGTCCAGTGAAGACTCTGGGTCCCAATTCAACCAATAAGACCAGGCCAAGTTTTAAAACACCGGTGATATATCCTTGTTGGATGATTATATATACATGAACACACAAAAATTTTAATATTCAAATATAAAATAGATGAGAGAAAATTCAAAAGTTTGATATATTAGTTGTGGTATTTTAGATTTTTGCCTTTACCGGCTTCCTTCCAAAACAATAACGTAGAAAACGTATTCATGTTAGGCAGGTTCCAATAGTTCGTTGTCCTCATTACTATGTTGCATGTCGGTGACACTAAGACACCATAGACGACATGTCATCCATAAAAAATAAAGGAGACAAAACAAAATATCAGTTCAGCCCAATTCCCATTCAAGAGTAATTCGGGCCTGGAATTGTACACGTCATATGGAATTGGGCCTTTAATGGGTCTGCCTTGCCAAATTCCCACTCTACAATCTTATCCATCGTAGATTAGTGACACTGACTTACACATCTTAGCAGAATAATATGGGAACTTTTTTTTTTTTTTTTTCCTTTAGCCCCCATCTTCTATATGTAATAATAAAGAAAAATTATTCTTTTCCATCCATACTTTAATTCAAAGTTTTATATTTGCAGTTATTAAAAAATTAAATAAAATTAGGTCAATTAGAGTCAAAATTGCTTAATATTTCTTCTTTATGGCATGAATTAATTTTCAAATCTCATATCCTTCTAAACCTAAAGCAAACACAACTACCATTTAATCTACTTTTCGAGATTTCTTTATTAGTTTGGAGCGTTTTAAAAGCTGACGACTTTATAAAATTATATTAAAAGATCTCAAATCTAGCGTCAAATTATGAATATATTTATAATTTTTTTCTCGGATTTTTGAATACGTATAAAAACCACCATTGTTAATATTTACTTTCTAAATACGATTATACCCTATCTATTGTGGAAGACAGGGGAGAAATCAAAAAGAAATGGGAAATAATACAGTCATCGAAAGTTACACACCAAATTTATGCACCGAATGATGTGATAAAATCCTGACCGTTGATTAATTATAAGTTAATATTAATAAACGGTCAAGATTGCATCATTTCATTCGGTGCATGAATTCGGTGACTATAACATTACTCAAAAGAAATATGGGATCTAAAAATCACTTCCCCAAAATAATGAGAAAATAATAAAATAAAAGAAACAAAAGAAATTAATATGCAGCTCAGCCCAATTCCCATTCAAGAGTAAATTGGGCCTTGCATTGTACACATGATGTAAAATTGGGCCTTTAATGGTCCTGAGTAGCCAAATTCCCATTTACAACCAAATTATCCACGGGAGAATTAATAACCGAGGTATCTGAGTACACTTGTCAGCCAAGCCCGCATAATTCTCAAGATCACGGAATACCCTACAAACCCAATTAACCAATGTAATTTCACAATTGTGGTAGATGTCTCTCTTATGACTTCAACAAGACCCTTGGGTGTAGCTAACCGTAATGGTTAAAGGGTTTGCCGTCCGACCACAAGAAAAAAGGTCATGAGAGAATTATTAACTACCCTAAACAAATAATAATACCATGGATTACCCATATAAATAATCTTCATATCCAATAATATTATGCATCAAAACAGTATAATCCTTAATTTTATGTGTCAAAATCCCCCCTTGATGAAACCCTTTTCTTCAGTAATAAAAGGATTTTCTAGCATGATGACCCTATTGTATTTGTTCATACTGTTCACAACAAAATTATAAGTTGTTAGTTGGAATTTCAAAAGTAATATATTAATTAATATTGATTAAGTCACTAATTAATAGTTATCGATATGTATTGGACTCAACTTCATTTCTATGCAGTTACATGTCAAGCTTCAATAACTAAAACCAGATTAGTGACCCATAATCAACTAATTAATTTCCAATTCATTGCCAGCTGCTCTTTAGTTTGGTTTTACTTCCCTTTTCGGCTACCAAATACATGAATGAGACAACTTAATTTGCTTACAGAAAATTAATCTACTTTTAGTAGCAAGACATGATAATTGGTCTATACTTTATGCTAATTAATTAATCTTCTCACCTTCTTCAATAAGTTATCTTTTGATTCATAATATTTTAATTATCTTATCCCCGTTTCAAGTTTTCAACCGTTAGATGCTTCGAATGATTAAAACGATCAATAAGCATTAAAAACATCCTTGTGGTCGAATCAAGCGACGTCCACCGACATTATAATATGATTATGAGATGGTGATATAATTAAATTGCTTAAAGAGTAAATGACATATTCCCACCCAAGGTTTGACGAAATCTAAAGTTGGTGCCCCAAGTTTCATTTATTCTAGATTCTCACCCTTAAAATAACACTGTTAACAATTTTTAGTGAGGGTGCAATTACCATAATACCCTTAACCCTAAATTGATAAGTTATTTTTAACCCCTAAATTACTAAAATTATAAAATTAACCATCTTATTTTGAAATTACTTCAATTACACCCTCAGTGACTACGTACCGTCTCGGTTTTCACCGGATTTGGGTTGTTTCCGATGGCGGCGAACCCCCTAGTCACCTCTATCACCTTCCCCATCGTCTGTCGTCCAAAACCCCTTTGGTTCCCGACTCATTGGGCCCTCCAATCGTCGACGCCGTCAAGCTTAGGTTTTCGTCGTTCTTTGCTAGATTCCGATGACGAAAATGCAATTAGACATCACCATTGCAACTAGCATCTCCAAATCTACAAAACTCCTATGTCCCCAACAATCGTTTAATGGCCATTCGCCGGTAGAGAACGATGAAAACCAGTCACCTGTGGCAGTTGTCGTGGCTGGCGATCGAAGAGTGATGAGAGGTTGTGAAGGGTACGGTTTTGTAGAGGGGGGGATGAGGGTTCAAATGGTGGTGACAAGGGTGATTTTGGGTGGAAGAATCGCCGGAAAAGAGCGAAAAACGTCGACAGTGGTGTTGGCTAACGTGCGCCGGAGCTTTGTTAGGGCGACGATCTGCTAATGTGCGCCTCCTCTGCAAAATGACCAATTTACCTCTGAGCCGTTATATCTAACCATTTTTCGTTACTTTAAGGGTGGGAATCTGGAATAAATAGAACTTGGGGTACCAACTTAGGATTTTATCAAACCTTGGGTGGGAATCTGTCGTTTACTCTTGCTTAAAACTCACGTCTTTATCATATAAGAGTAACGACTTTTTGCCACTCAAATAATACCTTAATGACACTTTTTCACCTCTTAACTTTTAAAATATCATTTTTTCATCTAAAAAAATATATTTAATAACAGCTTCCCACTAACTCCATCAATCATCGGTTGATGCTGGTATCGTTGCAATTTCATACCACCACCATTCTCTTCCCAAGTCATCACTCTCCAAAATCCCTCAAACTTTACTCCTATCGATCCCACCAATCGTCGACAATTGAGCAATTAGAGTTTGTGCAACTGCCCATTCCAAGTCAAATTCTGATCAATTATGACCACTAAAATCCAACCTTTCATCAACAAAAGACTCACTAACCTCCTATCTTCAAAAGCCCTAAAAGAATAGATCGAGTTTGCTCTCTATTTGTCGCGTAAATTGAAAAGTATATTTTCTTTTTACAAAAAAATGGTATTTTAAAAGTTTATGAATAAAAAAGTATCATTAAACCATTATTTAGATAGTAAAAACTAAAAAGTCGTTAACTCCTAATATAACACTATAATACATGTCTCTCTTGTAATTATAAATTTACAATCTGAGTTTTTTTATTATAAAAAAATATTTTTATTTGCTAAATTCATATATTAATTAAAATCTTTTTTTTTTTTAATCATATATTTACTTATCTACTGTATTTGACTTGGTGTGAGTTTTAATTATCGAATATTTTGATCACTAATTTAGACTTAAATTTTTTAGTGATCAGGTGAGAGTGTACTTATCATGCATGGATCATGATGGAACTTGGATCACCACGAGGAGTCCACCAACCAAATAATCCAACGGCCAGCCAGTGTTGATTATTTAATGACATATGGATCATGTGATTGAGATTCGTGGGGCCAGATCAACGACACCACAAAACTCCTCGTGACCAAGCATGACTAAATTATTTCAGTAATTGGACTCCCATGTTCGAATGTGCACTCCTTTTAATTTTATTTTAATTTAATTTCATGTTTAAGATTTTTTCTGTTGAATTTTGATGAAGACCTATAATTAATCCTAGGATGGCACGTGTCATTTCTAAATATATCATATCTAGCACTAATAATAATTCTAGG